ATTTCAGCGCAATCCGTTCAGTGGTTTGAGCTGTACGTTTATAGATCATTCAGTATTCAGCATGATAGAAAGCACTACAATCACTTAATCAGATCCGTACCTAACGATATAAAAATAAGTTAATATATTATAACGCGCTAATCTGTGGTTTCAAACTAACCAACCCATAGAGCGGAATTTACGTTCCTCGCTCGTGATTGGCTGATAAGTATCTGCCACGCGAACCACGTGACCGTGTGATAGACTGTCAAGATTGTGCGTACCTTAGCGGCAAAAATTATGCTCCACAATTATATTCTTTTATTCGATTGTAACCCGAGTTTTGATAAAATAAATGTTCTTAATACAACTAGAGTATGATTTCTAATCAGTTATATTTTTCGCGTTCATAACATGACCAGAAATGTCGACTCTATTACACTTTACCCTTTAAATATCTATTATACACTGTTGAATTAAAATTAAATTATTATAGAAACTCCATTTTACCGTTCTTAATAAAATAATTTTACTGATTAAGAAAATATTGTTTTAAACTTTCATGGTCACTGACATTATAGTTATTAGCGGGATTATTACCTTGTTTTTATGAGTCTATAATGATCAGGAACATTTTCTCAAGATATGGATTATTCAAGAGTGTAAATTATATTAGCTTTTATTGCTCCTGATAAATACCTACCTAGTGAGGAAAGAATAAGGATAGAATACAGAATATTATATTTTTAATTTTAAGCATTCCTCTGCTCGATTTTTTCTAGTATTTTTTTCTTTAACGGATTTTATTGCTTTATACTTCATAATTAAATCAAGGCTACTCTTCAAAGGATGTCGACCCCTCAAGTAATTATTAGTGAATAAATGTTCTGTCTGCGCGACAATATTTCTTTACAAAGGGCAAAGAATTTCCGATTAACACTCAGATCATAGTTACCTAAGTACCTACTTCTCGTTTGTTTCTTAGATTTCCGTGTCACTTTTTGTTCATTCGGTTTCACGAATGTTTTGAAGGTATAATAGTATGACTGGCAACACACACACAGAGCTGAGCTTTAAAAAAACCGGCCAAGTGCGAGTCTGACTCTCACAGAAACGGAATTCCGTACCATTAATTCCGTAATTTTAGGCAAAAACCACGTAGGTATGTTGTACGGAAGCCCCCGTAAATATTAATTTTATTCTATTTTTAGTATTTGTTGTTATAGCGGCTACAAAAATCCATTATCTGTGAAAATTTCAACTGTCTAGCTATTATGGTTCAATAGATACAGCCTGGCGACAGTCAGACAAACGGACATTGGAGTCTTAGTAACAGGGTCCCGTTTTTACCTTTTGGGTACGGGACCCCAAAAAGTGCGTGGTAATTGGAAGGAAATGTGAGGTGGCTGGGAATAGCAAAAACCCAACTTGAAAACAAACTACAAACGGATGATTTTCGGCATCGAACCAGATACCTATCTCAAAGCGTCAAAATTTATGGCGACTCTGTCTATATTGAAAGTAGCATGTATGAAAGACGCAATTAATTTTTAATGTGTGCGGAGGCTATAACGTTCCATAAATAACGACGTCGAACCCTCGTTCGAAACTATTGTCAGAGATACAAATCTAAAGACATTTTTCTACTTATATTAGTTTTCAGATTTCAGACTGTAGTACCGTAGTTATATTCTTTCTTACTTCTTAGGTACCTATAAAATATCTAAAATTAAATTATCCTATCAAATATCGAGATTTTTGTTAAGATTGACAGATTACCATGTCCAAAATTATTATATTTTTTTAAGCATTTAACTGTTTAATTCTAAAGAATTCATCCGATAGGGGAAGATGCAGGTTCGAATTTTTGTAGTAGATTTTTCTTTAGAGTCCAATTATCTGTACTAATATTATAAAGAGGAAATATTTGATTGTTTGTTTGTATGTATTGAATAGGCTCCGAAACTACTCGACCTATTTGAAAAATTCTTTCACATTTAGAATGCTGTATTATCCCTGATGAACATAGGCTATAGACTGTTTCCAAAAAAGTTATGGTTCCATATGAAAACTTCGATAATGTAACCCAATGTGTGAAAAAAAACCAAAACAAAAATCTTATATAGCGTAATCTGCGGAAGTCATTGACAAACATCAATAGTAAAGCCGGTACCAACTAGGCAGATTATGACTTCTTATTCAAAGCTATATCAGGCAGGTAGGTACCTGATATAGTGTCGAATAAATTTTTTGAAATTTCTTTTACAAACCAATGCACTAGATACGTTCAATCAATGGCAGTGGGCAAACTTTTTTTTAACAGCAGATCAATGGAGTATTCGGTACAGCGGGTACTGGACTACGCAACAAAATTTTCGCTATTAATTAAATAAATTATCACGGAAGATTTATAATTATATGAATAAAGTCATCGTGTATAATACAAGCTGGAGCACGAAAACTATAGCCTATGGCCTACACCAAAGCAAAGCGAGGGCGGGCCACTAGTTTTCTAATAAAGGCTGATATAGGTAATAATATTCATCTGAATTCAGTTATTTACATGAAAACATAGTTGTAAGGCGATTCTGTAAAATAAAATCTCACTGCCGATTTCGGTAGCTGCCATTTTAGACATTAAGTTTTATGTGCATTACGCTATTACACGGCAAAATTTCGCTATGCCTGTAGCTGCAGTCAGTATTAGATATATGAAAATTGTCAGAAATCCGAATAAATGACATCGTAAGTGAAATTGCATGTTACAGAATGCCTATGCTGGTTCTGTTATTTGTTTAGACTCGAGCCTAAACCTTCTAGTGTACTGAACTTGCGTGTCATTTGGCTGACCCCGTCAATTTGTTTCGATCTTTTTTTATCTGATAACCTTGCATCTGTCACATCATAGGTAGGTAGGTACTAGTAGGAAACGCGAAATTAAGATTTCTTTATCGTACCAATACAAACAAAACAAATTTTTAAGATTGCTTTAATCTTTTTCGTGCGATTATTTTTTAGTTAGACAGAATCTTAATTCTAAAGTAAAAAGAATAACTAATCCAATTTCAAAAATCGTTACAAAGAACCTATCCCTAACTCAGCGATTAGGGTAGAGGGTGGAAGCCCAACGATTTACCACCCAGATTATATTTCAAGCTCACCCACGCATGTTTTATATTATAAAAACGACTAGAAGGTACCTACCTACAATTTCAAAGAATGTTTTCAATATGCCTAAAATTACAAATTTCATTTCAAACTAAGTACGTGTGAGACCACATTTAAAGAGCATTGATCGTAAGGCGGTCGAAAGGTCTTTGAAACATAAGTGTAGTATGAAAATATTTACAGACTGGTGCCCTTCAGAAGGGCATTGCCGAGAGGCAATCGTCGTCGGCCCGACCCGAGATCACTAATTCGACTGGAGTGGCTTTTTATATGAAATCGATTTTAAGCCTTTTATGAAGTAACATCGCCGTTTACAACGTATGTACTTAATTTACGAAAACACGCAACTGCGACATCTTTAATTAACATGTATAATAAACATTTCGTAAATAAAGTTACGAACTTAAATAATATTTGTTTAATCCAATAACTATACTTTTTTGTATAGAAATACAACTTAACACCATGTAGGTCATCAGCAGCAAGAAAAACTGACTAGAAAATCAACGTAAGTTAGGCACATCTGGTAATACCGTAATATGCCTGCCTAACACCTTATGGTAATACGATTAAAATAATTATAAAAATAAAACATTACTCACCATCTACTTGTCAAGTTTTAACGTAAGTATACTTACTTTCTACTTTCACTCCCTAAAACTGTATTTTGGTATAATATAATTGTCCCATGTAAGAGGCACGGAGGCATTGAAAACCTACATACTTAATTGAAGAGGGCACCAAGTACCTACTTCTTTATTACTACTCTACATTTGTGGCAGTCTAGAAAATCACTTTTGTTATAACTATTTAAAATACTGTCGGCTGTTTGGCCCACTGCAGGAATGATAATGTTATCTTATCTATTTCCTATATCCTACGGACATACCAAAGATAAATTAATTTGTTTGCATACTTAACTGCAGTTTGTATTGTTATCGCTCATACATACTATACAAATGGACTGACTCAAGTATTATATATATCAAGAGATTAAAGCTGTCTCTAACACGTCCATGGTGGTGTATGAATAAATAAATTTACGTTTGTAACATGCGATTATTATCTGGATGGCCTGACTCGCGATTACGTCAAAACTAATACCTAGTGAATAAGAGCAAATGACGGAAAAAATAATAAAAAGAGCTATAAAACCTGCGTTAACATAAACAAATAAAAACTTATTTTTGTTCTGTCACTACACAACATGCAATATTCAAGCAGTATTACACAGCTGACCTGCCGCTCAGACAATACACACAATTATATATTATGTACATGTTAAGCTACTGCCACAAATATAATTATATTATGTATTATTATTATGTATAATTATGTAAGTAAATAAGGACACAACAGGGTGGGGGATAATAATATAGAAAAAAATAGAGAAATATACAATAAATCTATTTAAACATGAAATTTATTAAAGATTAAAAAACATACAATGCTTTGTTTTACACAAAATAAAATACCTGGAGGATTATAATGGGAGCCCGGGCACACGACTAGCAGAGGCGGGGTGGCCCAAACCCCCATTGTGATCAGATATACATAGTGCGACAGGTCCATAAGTCCAATAATATAATACCATATCATACGATAAAAAGTGGGTACACATATATGATACTGTCAAGCCAACTAAACTCACAGCTAGTCATGTCGCTCTCTCGCGAATATAAAACTATGTTAAATCTTATAAAAATACTTATGCGACTAATTTCAAATGCACATAGAGGATCTCGCTTCTCGACTACAAAAATATTTTGAGATTGGAATGAAATCTTTCTTTTTAAGCTTTCGGCCTGGGAACAATCACAAATAAGACGGCGTTTTAAACGTCCGTACACATCCTAATTATTTCTTTTTTGTGTCTTAAAGCTAACTGATAGAACCTGTCCATTGAGCGTATATCCATTGAGCGCCTGAATGGCCATTGCAGCCTCATCATACTCCCTCATATTGACAAATGCAAAACCTTTGTTTTTCTTGGTCTCAGGATCCTTGATTACTTTAATGGAGTCAATGGCACCATAAGGACCAAACAGTTGCCACAGTGCCAGTTCTTCAGTGTCCTCACCAATGTTGTATACATACACAGTGGTTTGATGCGGAGCAGGAGGCGCGCCCAGGAGTGGTACAGGACTCGCAGGAGCCCCAAGCAGAGGGAGAGGTGTGTGGTTCGCTGCTGCCATTGGATTGAATCTTTGCTGGCCCTTGTTAATAAACGGAAGGGCCTTACCGGGCGACGGTAACAGCGGTGGTGGTGACGCCTGAGGGAAGCCAGGAGCGAACGCCGCGGGCCTTGCACCAAAGGCCGCGCTCAGATTCGTGCCATTAAATGCAGAAGCCGTAGTTCCATTGAAGACTGCAGCAGCGCCATTGTATGCCAGTGGGGTAGCTCCAACTCCAACCCGTGGAGTAGGACGCGGAGCATTTTTATTTGCGTTTGGTTTGTTGGCGAACTTCACAACAATTGGACCAGCTGCCGGAATAGGTGTCTGCCCATTCATGTGTTTGATAGCTTCCTCAGCCTGTGGTCGACTTTCGTAACACACAAAACCGATCCCTTGTGATACGCGACTGTTGGTTATGTTTCCAAATTGATTAAAGAGAGTATTTAAACGCTCTAGCGTCATATCAGGAGGTAGATTACTTATGTAGAGGTTCGATTCGGTATCAGGTTTGTGGCTGACTTTGTTCTCGGGGTTGAGAAGAGCGAATGACACTTTCAAAGTTTTGCCTTGCATGAGTAGGCCGTTGAACGCAGCTCGCGCCTTCTCGGCATCCTCGTGTTTTTCATATTCCACGAATCCATAACCCCTGTTGGCGATCAATTTGCAACTCTCGATTTTGCCCATCGCAGAAAACAATGCGTACATCATGTCCCGCGTCATCAATTCGGGTATGTAATTGACCATGAGTTTGGTCGGTGACACATTGGAATTAGCGTCGCCGCCGCCATTCTCCATTTCGTTTTTTATCATTGTTCTTTCAACGTGAAAAATACTACACTACAGAAAACAAAATACTAATGAAACTCACACTCTGCAACCGAGTTATTTCATTAGCGTTGTGAATTATAGTACAATGAAAGAACACAAAAAACTTAGTCACAGCAAAACGCCAACCAACGCCGGTTCACAAGTTCATCATCACAGGACAAGTTTGTTTTCAAAATGTTACCAGGATTTACCCTTGAAATTGTTTAGACCATGTACTGTTATTTGAGAGTATTTTCTATGGTAAGTTCGACTTATGTAGTTCCAACAGGGAAAAATATTCAGCAGTTCACACGTGTTTGATTATTACAAAGTTGTCAAAATTTCATTATTTTTCGTGAATTTTTTGTTCGCGTGGCATCTTTAAACTTTTGTCTATGACTGGCCCACGCACAGACTGTTTTAACGATTTTGTATATCTATGGAAATAGATACTGTCATGGTCATGGACAACGGATTTCACTATGGTCATGGGCATAGAGTGTCATAGGCGCGTTATTTAAATGGCGGCACTTCACTTTGCCATTCGTTTTTTTGTCATTTTTGACCTTTATTTTTAATATGTGGATAAATTGATCGAAAAAATATTTGCTTCATTGACAAACATCAACATATTTGACAAATAATATAATAACTTGTGGTTTTGCGTTATTTGGCACCAAGTGTGGCTTTTTTGCCATAAAAATAGATATACAGGGTGAAATTGAATGTTTCTATGTAGTCCAGGCAACGAATGCTCAAAAACAGGTATAGAGGGAAATGCTTGGAACACAATTTTTGACTTCGTAACTTTGTAAGGACTAGTTAAGAGGTAAACATATCAAAAGTCCCCGCCCGTAGCCCTTAAGCCGGGGGGTGGGGGGGGGGCTTGAAGGTCCCATTTTTAGGTTTTTCGCATATATCTCGAAAACTATGCATCTTAGCGACATGAGACTTTCACAAAAGTGAAAGCTGATTAAATTTTCTACAAGTCTTATTCAGTCAAATTTTTTGATATCTTGTATAGTTTTCGAGATAACCGCTCTTGAAAGTCTGTAATTATGGAAAAAAAAATTGTTCCCATTTTTGCTCTATTTGACCGGATAATATGCCGTAAAGCGCCCGTAAGGGTTACGGGGTCCTCAGTGGGCAGCCACTGCTGGGGCTCGTAAGGCTTGCGGGAGCCAGGTGTGAGGTCCATAAGTAAAAAAGAAAGTAAATTAGTGTCATTGAGAAACTGTAATTATCTAATAATAATATCTGTAATAATGATATCCGCTCTTGAAAATCTGTAATTATAGAAAAAAAAAATTGCTTTACATTTATGCTCTATTTGACCGGATAACTCTCGAACTCTTCAACGATGCACCGATGTCTAAATAGCACACATGCTCATTTTAGAATATGTACTTGTTGGCCCACTGACCAGGTTCTTCACACTTAATCCAGAAAATAAGTTAATAAAAACTGTAATCAATACGCCTCGTAGTTTTCGAGAAAAAAAATCAAAGTTGACCTATTTTAGAACTATGAATTTTAAAAAAATCATCTGGCTCCTCTATTATTCATATTGTTTTAGTTTTGGTTAAAGGTTTATATATATATAGCTTTGTATTATACATCTTTTCACAAAATTTGAGCCTTCTAAAGCAAACCGTATAGACCATATGTTTTTTTTTTAATTTTCGATTTAATTTTTTTCTTAAGAATAACGGCGTATTCGGGGATAATATTTATACATGAAAATATTGAAGTTTGTTGTCCCTATGTAGAATATTTTTAATGCAACCGAAAACCTCGTTATGTACGAGTTATAAACAAATACATTAATTAAACTTAATTCCGGTATTAGGGTTGTCACTTCCGGAACTGAGTATTTAAAAATAAAATGAGTTCCTTTATTATATGTTAATACGCATTCTTTTAACATATATTATATGAACTATTTATTATTATTGGAGAATAAAAAGAATATAACTTATAGGTATGTAACTAATAAGAGTTTTTATTGCACAATATTTATGTATTATAAGGATTTACCGACGCAGTGTTATTTGTTGTAAATTGCATGAACAATTATACAATATTGTGGAGTGACGATGAAAATAATCTTTTTGCTACTAGATTTGTTCCGCTGCAGCTCGTGTTAAATGAAAGGGATGTTGTTTGGTCTAAATCAACTCCACAATCACATAAATACTGCAGACCTATTCATATTCAATATAGGAAAGAGAATAAAAAATTAATTCTAGCAGAAAAAGAATTAATTGAAAATCAAATATCTAATTTGCAACTGCAAGGTAAAACCTCACAAGGTCATAATATTCCCGTCAGTTGTGAACTATATTGCGCAGCTATTGACGGAAAAGTCCTTAACATTTTATTAAATATGCGTTGCCCGTATTGTGGCTTAACATAGACCACCTTCAATAACTTGGACATGGCTTTTTCTAAGCCATTAAATCAAGAGCTATTGATTAACGGCTTAAGTCCGCTTCATTTTTGGATACGAGTGCTAGAATTTCTCTTACGACTTGGCTATAAAATGGATGTAAAAAATGGCGTATCCCACACAATTCTATAGATTATGTGAAAGTTGAAGAGCGCAAAAAAAATATTCAAAATGAAGTGAGAAAGCAGATGGGTTTACTGGTCGACGTAGTGCGTCCCAATTCCAAAGCCATTCGGTCTGTATTGCCATCATTTGTTGTACATGATGGCAATACAGACCGAATGGCTTTGTCAGACAAGTTCCGCCAAAAATTTTCCCAAATCCTGGGGATCGAACAATGGCTGTTGGATGATCTCCACACATTATGTATTGTTTTGTCTAGCAATCATGCAATTGATTCCGACCGGTTTAGGGATTCTTGTAAAAATCTGGCTTATAAGTATGTCGCTACCTATAATTGGTGTCCGATGACCGTAACGTAACGTTGCACAAAGTTTTAATTCATGGTGCCGATATTATCAAATCAGCCACTATACCTATAGGGATGCTTTCGGAGCAGGCTGCCGAGACCCGAAATAAATATTGGCGGAACGATAGGGAGCAGCATACCCGAAAAATGAGCCGTAAATTTGTTTAATAGAGCGCTGGAAACATCGGACCCTGTTATAACAAACATTCGAATGCAAGAGAGAAAAAATAATGAAAACTTGACACCATCACCAACTGCAATAGTTTCTTTATTAAAAGTAACAGATCCAAGTGACGCAGTAAGGGATATTGATTTTGAGGACTACGTCGATTCTTTCGTTATAAATACAGAAATAAATGATTCATTGTAAATATTTATTTATGAGAAGTAATTTATATTTCAATTTCATAATTAAATGGCCGGAATAAATTTTTTGTCAACCCTGAAAAAAAAAGCTTTTAGCTCATAACTTCTACATAACGATTTGCTTTAGAAGGCTCAAATTTTATGGGAAAATCTATTGTACAAAGCCACATAACATACATTTAATCAAAACAAAAAAACATGTTGAATAGAAGAGTAATTTTGTTTTTTTTTTAAATTCCGGATCGATAAAAGGGTTAACTTTGAAAAATTTTTTCTCGAAAACTACGTATCGTAGAAATTTTCCAGTATTTTTTCAGTGCTTATAAAAGCGTAATCTCTAGAAATTTGGGATAAAAAGGGCATGTCACAAAATCGAGGTTCTTAAAACACTGTGCGCTGGATCCAGCAGGATGCATAGTGCGTAGCATGGAACAAATTGATCCATAGAGCGTAGAGTTATTAATATGTGATCTTTGGGCATGGAACAGATCTCGCATTCGTTTCTATGGCATCGCTATTTATTACGGTTTATGATGAATTCCTACAATTCAGGTCCAGGTAACAAAAAAACAAACGGACGGAGCAGGAGTGATTAATGGAATCATATAAATGGTATGCAAGTGCTGAGGATAGTCAGAATTGAAGCCGAGAATCCCACAAAACACTAGATGTAACAAAAAAGCATCCTCCAATTAGCTAAAACCGACCTTCAATCCGAATGGAGTAAAAGATGGAGTCGTAACTCCAAAATTATAGGCCGCCATTATGGCAGCCTTCAGGAAATAATACCCAGAAAACCTTGGTTTGCTAAATTCCGCGACTTTCCCAGGCGGGTCATTACAACTATTAGCCGTCTTCGTCTCGGCCACGTTACCTCGCCAGTCTTTCTTTCCAAATTACATATACTAGACAGCTCCATTTGTGAGTGCGGACTCGAGGAAGGCACTGTAGACCACATTTTTTTCAACTGTCAAAAACACCCATCTCTATATTCTCTACTTCCACCCAAAACTGTACGTCCCGTTAACATTAATACAATTCTAACATTGACCGACAAACCTGGCTTTTTGTGTTTATGTAAATTCATAAAAAAATACAATATTAAACTGTAACTTTTATTAACCCTTCTATTTTTATTTGGATGTAAATGTCGGCTCTACCCATGTCATATAAATTAATATTGTTTAACCTGTGACGTCTTTGTGTTTGTTTGTTATGATGTGCTTTCAGAAAAGTGAAATACTCAAGGAAGAACGTATAATCGGTTATTTAACGGTTTCTACCGAGCAGTCTTACTCGTGTCTCTCTCACTACCTACTGGACATTGGCGAAATTTCTGTGCAAAACGGAGAACGCCACAGAAAGAAGAAAAAAAAAACAAAAAAGCAAATGTGAGCAACACTCGGCTGAAAAAAATAATCATTTTGTTACTTTTTACGTCTCACTTATAATATCAGCAGGGAATTATAAATTAATATCTCGCTGCAAGAACTAATAATTCCCCTGCCTTTTTGTAAACGTTTTGAAGTTTTGAGATCTTGTATCATAAATGTTCGTAATGTTTGTGTTTATCTTTGCTAATCCGTGGTTATTTGTTCTTAGACGCCATGTGTAGATGGTCGTATTGTCTTGTATTTGTATTGCCGATATTGTCATTTTTCGCCAAAAATTTGTACGTAAATACGCAAACATCGAATGGTCAAGTGAAGTGCGGCCATA